AAAAAAAAAAAAAAAAAAGTATTCCTTACTAATGATCTAAATATGAGTGATAGCAAGAACTAGAAATTACCAGGAAAAAAAAAAAATAGAAACCAGATATTTCTGTAAGGAAAAAGAATCTAAATATGCATGAAATACTACAGAAAACAAGAGATTAATTTAGTTTTTTTTTTTTTTTTTTTTTTTTTTTTTTGGTGGCAGAACCAGGGATTGAACTCAGGCCCTTGCGCTTGCCAGGGAAGCACTTATTCCACTGAGCCATATCTCCCAGTCCCAAGAAATTAATTTAAGCACAAGTGATTAATTTCAAATCTTTCATTTAAAGACGATGTATTTCCTGGTTTGTCCCAGAGGGGAGGATCTGAGGAAAAGAAGGAAGACACCCCTTCTGGGCCTGCCCTCTTGGGTGTGCAGTATGTCACCCTCAGCCGCCTACAGCTCTCCTCGGGCGCAGGCCAGAAACGCCATGGACTTCAACGTAGCTGACCAGCTCTCATTACAAAGGTCTCCACAATGACAGGTACCAAAAGCTGGGCAGACACAGAGTGCCAGGGGTGGTATCTGTGCTGAGCAAAGAGCCGGAGGCTGGGTCTGCTCACACCTGCTCCAGGCTTGCGTCCAGCCGAGTGCTGCTGGGGTGCAGTTCTTCCGGTCAGCCGAACATGCCCACATACAGCTGCTGCTGCTTCCTGTGGTAGCTGCTGAGCTCGGACTGTGTCAGCTGCAGGTATCTCCGGACATTGGCATCTTGGCAGATGAAGGGGAGAGTTAGTGACAGAGCACAAACGTACCTCAGGGCAGGAGAGGGTTTGTAACACTTACCCACTTACCTCCTCCACAACTAGGAAGACAACAGTCACTCTCTGCAATAATAGATTAGTTGGGGCCGGGGAGATGGCTCAGTGGATTAAGCGCTTCCCTGGCAAGCGCAGGGGCCTGAGTCCAATCCCCGGTTCCACAAAAAATAAAGAAAAAAAGATAATAATAGATTAGTCAGTCACTAAGTTTTTTTTTTTTTTTTTTTTCTGGCACAGAAAATAGAACTGCACTGAGCTCTACCTCAGCCCTTTTATTTTGAGACAGGCTCTCATCAAATCACTACGTTGCTCAAGCTGGGTTAGAACTCCTGCCTCAGCCTCCCACAGTGCTAGGATTACAGATGTGCACCACCATGCCCAGCTTGGTTGCTAGCTTTTTAAAAAAATTTTTTTGTGGAATGGGGTATTGAACTCAGGCCCTTGCGCTTGGTTGCTAACTTTATAAGGAAAGGGAGTACGATGAAGCAGTCATTACCATTAGAGTCCCATAAGAGGTACTTCAAACGTACTTATGAGTCGTCACAGCCCCACCTGCATTTACCCTGGAGAGGTTTTGTGGCTCGTGCGTGCGTGTCTGCGCACGGGTCTTCTGGTGCACAGGGACTGTGCTGGTCAGTGCTCTACCTCTCAGCTAACTCCCCAGCCACTGCACCACTTGAGGGCCTTCTGCTTGCATCTGAGGCCATTCTGGATAAGTGCACAAGACAGCCTTGTCAGAACTAAATTGGTCAACATGGGGACAGCCACAGAGGCCAGCCTGCCCTTTCCAATGGCCACTGCGATTCTAGGGCCCCCACGGGGAGCTGAGCTGAGGCCCAGTGACAGCAGAGCTGGTCCCTAGGAGGAGGGTGAAGCAACACTGTCAGGAGTCCTCCTGCTCACCTCCTGCTTTTCTCCCCAACCTGCTTTTCACCCTACCCCCTTTTTTTTCCTGGTACTAGAAACTGAACTCAAGACCTTACACTTGCCAGGCAGGTGCTGTACTGCTAAGCTATATCCCCAGCCCACCCCTCTTAAAGGCTGAGGACTAACCACTGGAAAATGTGGCTTCTAAAGCCCTGGCATGCAACATGGTGACTACAGAAAACTAACCAATTAATCTAAAATAACTTACTGGGCACCGCAGCACATGCCTGTCATCCCAGCACTAAGAAAGCTGAGGCAGGAGGGTCACCATGAGTTTGAGGCCAGCCTGGGCTATATAGTGACTACAAGGCCAGCCTGGACTACCAGTAAGAGTCTGTCTCAAAAAAAAAAAAAAAGAAAACAAATCCTAAAAACCAAGTGGAGATATAACTCAAGAGCAAAGTGCATGTGTAATATATGAAGGAGCCTGGATTCAACCCCAGCACACACAGATACACAAATCCTTGCATAGTGGCAATCAGGCAAATTCATAAAAACAGGCTTACACACATAAAGAGCAGAAGAGGCATAGAACCTGGTATCCCTGCAGTCCCAGCATTCCAGGAAGCTGTGACAGGAAGACTGTGAGTTTGATCCCAGGCTGGGCAATTCAGTGACTTAAGGAGACTGCCCCCACAAAGGAAAAAAAAAAAAGGCTGTCACGTAAACAAAGGCCTTAGGCCCAATCCCCAGTACAAACAAACATAAACACACACATGTACACACACGTACAGAGGTGTACCCGCAGTACAGACACAGACAAGGTGAACAGGCATCTACACACATACCAGTAAGCTTAGCACAAACATCTCCTACGCATACAAAAACAGTATTGCTTTTCTTTGGAAACAGGTACGAGAGGTGAAGAAATTTTAGAGATTTTTATTTATTTTGTAGTACCAGGGATGGAACTCAGGACCTTGTACTTTCTAGGCAGGTGCTTATTTTATTGAGCTATCTCCCTGGCCCCCAGGTGGAGGAATTTGTTCACCATATTATTTACTTTTTTTTTTTTCCCCTCAGACATGGCATTCCTCTAGTTCAAGCTGGCATGGAAGGCGGCGACCTGGCGCGGCAGTCTGGGCGCCGGGCCGCGGAGCGCGAGGTCGCCGGTTCGCGCCCCCGTCCCGACCCTTTCCCTTTGGGCGGGGTAGATGGCTCAGTGGAATAAGCGCTTCCCTGGCAAGCGCAAAGGCCTGAGTTCAATCCCCAGTTCCGCAAAAAAAAAAAAAAAAAAGCTGGCATGGAAGTCACTATGCAGCACAGGGTACCCTCGAAATCATGTTGACCGTCCTGCTATACCCGGCCTGGATTGCTTTTCATACTTTTAGAAAAGTTCCCCCCAAACTTCATAGTTCAGGTGGCCTTGAACTCAATGTACAGCCCAAACTGGCCTTGAACTGCAGCAATCCTGTCTCAGGTTCCCATGTGCTTTGATTATGGGTCTGGACCTCCACACCTGGTTACTGTTAGAAGTTTGAGGGGCCAGACTATGCACCTGCCTAACCAAGCCCAAGAACCAGGGTTTGATCTCTGGCACGTGCCACACAGGCCCTACTCCTGGGTATGCTAAACTGGCTACCGAGACCGAGTGTGGTGGCACAAGCCTGTAATCCCAGCCCTGGGGAGGCCAAAAACAGGAAGATCACAAGTCACAGCTGCGTAGTGAGACCCTGTACCAAATACATAAAATTGAAAAAAAAAAGTTTGAACCATGAACGCATAACCTATTATATTTATTTATTTTTTTAATTTTATTTATTTATGTGTGTGTGTGTGTCCACCTCAGCCCACCAGGGGGCGGGCTGGCTGGCATGTGGTGCTGGGGTACTGAACAGCGATCTCTGCTTTGCTGAGCTTGTTCTAAGTAGGTGCTTTAGACCACTGAGCCATCTCACCAGCCCCACCTATTTTAAAAAATAAATTCATCTGGGCATGGTGGCTAGTATATGCCCTCAATCCCAGCACTTGGGAGGCTGAACTAATCAGTCTTCACATCAGTCTGAACTACACAGCAAAACCCTGTCTCAAAAACAAATCAGGGGCTGGTGAGATGGCTCAGTGGTCTAAAGCACCTACTTAGAACAAGCTTAGCAAAGCACAGGGACCGCGGTTCAATCCCCCAGCACCACATGCCAGCCAGCCCCGCCCCCTGGTGGGCTGAGGTGGACACACACACACACAATTAAAACAAAACAACAACAACAAAAAACAAATCAGGGGGGCTGGGGAGATGGCTCAGTGGAATAAGTGCTTCCCTGAGTTCAATCCCCGGTTCCGCAAAAAAAAAAATAAAAAATAAAATAAAATAAAATAAATCAGGGGGGCCAGGGATGGCTCAGTAGAATAAGTGCTTCCCTGGCAAGCGCAGGGTCTGAGTTCAATCCCCAGCTCTGCAAAAACAAACAAAACAAAGCAAAAAAAACAAATCAGGGGCTGGGGAGTTGGCTCACTAGGATAAGCGCTTAACTGGCAAATGCAAGGATCTGAGTTCAATCCCCGGTTCCGCCAAAAAAAACAAATCAAAATCAAACTGCACACACTGATACCACCTGGCCCAGTGGGGGGGGCAAGCCCAGACCTGCCTCACCTGTGGGCTGTCTGTGCACGGCCGCCAGCAGGTGGCGCTGCGCCTGCTCGTAGTCTTGTAGGTGGAAAGAGGCCACTCCCGCGCGGTACAAGGCTTTGGCGTTGTCTGGTTGCCGCCGCAGGACCTTCTGACTGTATTCCCGCACCCGCTCGTAGTTCACTGGCTCCATCTGGAGGAGGCAGGCTGGGCAAGCAAGAGGGGACAGCGAGGCTCGGTCACTCTGCCGGCCCAGGCGACCTCGGAGGCAGGACAGGCGAGGGCCACCCGGGTCACACCTGGGCACACAGGGAAACTTGGTGAACCACGAACATCACCTCCCACTTACCTTCTGCACACCTTCGGGGGCAGGGTAGCCCCAGTATAAGACCAAAACATCACTTAAAGATTTAATTAGGTCTGGGGATATAGCTCAGCGGCACAGTGCCAGCCTAGCAAACGCGCAGTCCTGAGGTTCGATTCCCAGTACCAAAAGCTAAAACAAAACTATAAGCTTTAAAAATAACTTTTTAGAGATAGCCATTACTTCACTGGTACAGCTGTTATCTGGCATGTGCAAGACAAGTCCAGAGTTTAAAAATAAATCACTTTAGGGCCGGCCAACTAGCTCAGCGGATTAAAGCGCCTGCTTAGGCAGACGCAGCAGACAGGAGTTCGGTCCCTGGGCCTGCCGTGAGCGGAGATGGTGATTGAGACTGGGCGTGGTGGCGCACGGATGTAATCCCTGCGCTTCAGAGGCTGTAAACAGGCGGTTCACTACGAGTACGATGTACACAGTGAGACTCTGTACGCCCTGTAGAAACTCTCCTAAATAATAAAAAATTTTTTTAAATCTAAAAAACAATTACGTAAAATAACTTTAAAAAATAGCTTATTGGGCAGAGTTAAAGAAATGCACATTCACAAAGGAGTGTGGGTACCTCTTGAGAGAGGTACCCATACCCAACAATTTCTACAGCCGCAACTCGGACTGTTAGCGTCTGCCACACTGTAAAGTGAGTTCATTGGCGCCAGAGTTGTTCGTCTGTCACAGAAGAAAGCTACGTTTTAGCAGCCTAAGCCGGTGACATCTTGTCATCTAACACCAGCTGGAGATGGGGTCACTCCTACTAACCTACCTAGCTTATACGGAAAGGAAGACTTCAAAAACCATCCGGTACCCCTCTACTCGCTGGCTGAACCCTAGACTGCTTTCCTAACCAGTACTAACCCGCGTTCTCTCTGCACGGTAAGCAGAGCAGTCACCGGGTCCGCACCTCGGGCGGAGCTCAGTACGCGGCCTGGACGCGCCCCAGACGCGGAGGCAGGACAGGTGGGCCCCGGAGGCGGCGCTCACAGCCCCTCCCAGGCACGGGCTGGACGGCGAGGCCGCCCGCCCTCCCCCGGTCCCCACCTGCCAGATTGTTGTAGCAGGCGGTCTGCGTGGCGCGCAGCGCGTCCTCCTGCGCGGGCGTGAGCGCGGGCGCCCGCTGGCCCAGGTCGGGGACCGGGACGGGCGTGGGCGCCAGGCCAGGCTCCAGGCCCCGCAGCTGCAGCAGTGCGCGGTGGTACCGGCCAGCGGCGGCGCGGAAGCGGCCCTCGCGGTAGCGCTGGTTGCCCTGCTCCTTCAGCAGCCGCGCCTCCTGCAGCCGCGCCTCCATGGAGACCTCGGGGCGGTTCCGGCAACGCGGGGGTGCGCACGGGGGCCAGCCACTCAGCCGCGGCGGCGAGGCTGCCCCGTCCTAGCTCTTCCGGGTCCTTCTTTCCTCTTGCAGCACTGAAGACGGAACCAGGGCCTCCGCACTGATCTGCACCCCGGCCTTTTATTTTTTACGTGAGACAGCGTCTCGCTAAGTTGCTCAGGCGGGGAAGGACTTGCGATCTTTTTGCCTCTGCCTCCCGCGCACAAGAATCCCAGGCGCGCGCCGGTGTTCTCCTCCACCAAGCCTTCGCTGGCGTCCAGGCTGCGGGCAGGACGCCGGCCGACAAGGCCCGCGCCCCCGCCAGCAGGGGAGATGGAGCGGAGGCGCAGGGACTGGGACGCCGAGCTCGCCAGCACCCGCCCCTTCCTGCCTCGGCGGAACCCGAGCCCGGAAGTCTCCTTCGGACTGCAGCTCCGCGCGCTGCGCAAGGCCGAGCTGTCCGGCCTCTGCCAGTGTAACTAAAGGATCTTGTGCGCTGCACCTTGGCGCCCAATCACAGGGGGCGCCGCCAGTCACTCCTGGAGGAACGATCCACCCGCAGGACTGCCTAGCCAATTGGAAAAATCCGGCCCCTCAAGGCGGACCAATCAGCGCGTAAAGTGGCGACTCAAGCGACCAACGACAGGGACAAGGCGGGGTCCGGGAGTCTGTTGCCGGGTAGATGTTGAAACGTTCAGAGAAAAAACGGAGGTTACTATATTCTTGGGTTCTGGAAGGCCCTTTTGCCAACAAGTAACAATTCTTAGTGAGTTTTCATGTCAGCAGCAGTTTCCCTCTACTTTCTCTTGTTACTTCCACGAGGCTGCCGCCTGCACAGAACGTTGCGGCGACCGCACGCCTTATAACACCGGAAGTGAGCGAGACAGGGGAAAGCGGGAGGCTGGGACGCGCCCGCGCGACGCCTGCGCAGAGGTGCAGGCTGAAGTACGCAAAGCCGGGCGCACACGCTTCCGGACTACGAGGCACTTGAGCCGCAGCCAGGCCGGCCCGTTTGGGCTGTGGTGCGGCTGCGCGGTACAACTCCCGGCTCTGATTGGCCCGCGCTCCAGGGCAGGGCGGGTGAAGGCGGCCTGGGCTCCGCGCTTCGAGTGCGCGGGCGGGCGGAACCGAGGCGCCGGGAGAGCGCTTGCTTCCTGCTTCGTCGTCCTGAGCTCCGCAGGCCGCGGGGGAGCGCGGGAGGAGGGCAGCGCCGCTGCCTCGCTGCGGAGGTCGCTCAGTCGCTCGCGCGGGCCCGCGCCGGCGCGGGA